CAATAGTTTAAATATTATGTATGTCTTGCTCAAAGCCTCTAAAAGCGTTTAATTGCAATAATGTCGCAGCAATTGCATGATTGACAACAAGTTGCGTTCTCATGAGATACAATTTATGATATGTTCATGATATTCCAAAATTGTTCAAGAAATAGGAATATCAATGTAGCTGAAAATCTAGAAATGAATATTTCTTCGGAGGAGAGGACACACCCCTCGGATAAGTTAAGAATATAACTTCTCGTGGAGATACTATCTGTGTGAATATCAGCGAGAAAATGCTTGCCGGCAACGTTTCAAAATCTAAACGAGATTTTCGGTGAAATTCGTTCCTCCGTGCAACTCCAACGGCAAAATTGCTAAGTGCCGCTGCGTTAGCAGCGTCCGGAATGCATGTGCAGAAAGAGTTTCACAACAAATTTATCAAAGTCACGCTGGGCCATGACTTCGTTTGCATCTTACGCTGAAGAATTCGTTAGTGAAATTCTCAAATCCAAATGAAAAGCTCATAGAACTTTGCGAGCCACGATACCACGCGACCGCGAAAGTTTTCAAAGTCCGACAACTCAGTATGGATTTGCAAAAGGAATTTGAGTACAACGAGAAGTTTTCCGTCTGCAAGAATTTCATCAAGAGCTTGTTAAGCGTTAAGGGATTTTTACTGTCGCGAGTCGCATTATAATTGTCTTCCGAAAATGTTTTACGATACCAAGATTTGTTAGATGTAAAAATGCGGTTTTGGGAATGTATACATCAATCGCTAAAATGATACACCTCGTCAAAAAAAAATAAAATAATAAAGTGATGATAAAATCAATTTTTATACATATATACATTAATTAATTTAATTGGCTTTTGATAAAAAGAATCAAATAATTATGACAAAGTGATAAATACAATATAATGTGTATATATATATGTATATATATATATAATTATATTTAATACATCGCTTCCTTACTTCAAAAGTAAAACAACTAAAAAAATATAATTTTCGAGATATTACCATGAATGAATTAAGGGGATCCTAAAGCGAAGCTCGAACTCCGACAAAGTCACCAGAGGTCGCTGTTTTTCCAGCACATCGACATGTCTTTATATACTACCACATCAATATCTCACGCAACCTATGATACACGCAGTCACACGTTCGTGTCAATTTTGTACAACAAATTCGTCGCGATAAAGCGTCTAAATCTAATTTTAAGAACTCGACGTTATTTGTTCGTGCAAACTATGTGTTTATGGATTACTATTTCGTAAGTACAGGTTGCAAAACTTTCGTATCAAGCAAATGTTACGACTTGACAGCTTAAGATGCCATGTTACACTAAGAAATGGTAACAAATATGTCAATTTCGAAATGTTTGGTCGTTCTCGGCATAAACTCCACCTCACAAACACATATTAATGAGTATACTTTAATCCTGGGAAAGGATTTTTAAATCTGTGAAAGAGAAAAAAGTATTTGTTATACAAAAATTATATGATTTAGGCCCAGTTCCACAACTCACGGTTAACTCTTAATCGAGGTTCAACTTGTTTCTCATCTCTTTCCAATTCTAAATTGGAAAGAGACAATGAATAAGTTAAACCTAGGTTAAGAGTTAACCGTGAATTGTGGAACTGGGCCTTAGTCGGTAATACAGACGGTTTAGGATCCCCTTAAGTAAACATTATCTTATCAATTATCAAAAGTGAACTAATTTAACTTCATAAAAATAGACACAATTTTTAAATAAAAAATAAATAGCTTTTTAAGAGTTGTGAAACGAAATTAACAAAAATAATTTCTCACGAAAAAATCCTGAATATGTGCTTTTGGTTAAGAATATATTTTTTGTCAAAATCATTTGATTAATCAATAATTTTTTGTCAAGTTGAAAAATAGTGTTTTTCTTTTCTAAGAAACTTAATTTTTAAGTTAAATCATTTTTAAAGTAAGACAACGATATCATGAAATAATAAAAAGCGATAATTATCAACTGACTCAAAAAAACTTTGCGATGTTATCTATTTAAGTATTACGTTATTTACACTAATTTAGTGTTACATCCTTTTCTTGACAGATGCCATGTTAAGGGATAATGTTCTATGCATAAGCAAGCATGTCCGAATTAAGGGGAGTGAAAAATGACATTATGGACGCCGACAAAGCAGTCGCGTAACGGCCGTTTATTAAATCCGCGTCTTAGCAGCGACACAGAGCGGTTGAACTGGCGGATACGGCAGGGGTGGACGTTGCATTATGTATACGACGCTCGGGCTAAGGAAATCACAAGGGGTGAGTATGCGGTAGAGGGAGACGAAGGAGGAGTCGAATGAATACGATATTGTTACTATCCAAGCGAACGCCGTAAGTTTTGCTCCTCGTTCTACCCATCATTTTGCGTGCTAAGCCCACGCTTCAACGCTGCTACAAATAGCAGTTTGACTCGACTGCGGAATAAATTAGCCAGGAAATTTGAGCTTTTTCAAGTGGGACAGAAAAGAGAAGAAAACAGATTCTCTGTCGCGAAGGAAAAAAGAGGCCTCAAGGGGGTAAAGACGAGGTAAGACACAAGCACAAAATGCGCTCGAATATCAAGAAACAGGGGTACTTTGCCCCTTAGGCGGTTCTTAATAATAAATTCATATCTTGGTCCCTTGTCTGTTTCCCCTATTCTTTACTGCCGCTGTAGACGAGTTCCGCAACCGAGGAATCGTCTTCGCTTCGCGGGACGACTTACCCACGAAGTAAGGTATCCTCTTTCCCCCTCCTTTCCTCTTGCTTCCACTCGTTTCCTTCAGTCAGTCTACAAATCTCTTTTTTTATGCCGCTTAATAAAACTCGTCTGACATATCTCTAACTGCCGCTACTTAATTTCGAGCCGGCTCGACCTTCTTCAAGGAACGTGAAGGGCTCCGTTACTTCTGCCGGTTGTTACTGACTGTACCAAAGTAGGTTTGTTTGCTTCTCTCCTCTGGACCGTCGTGCATCTCCACCAAGCCTTCGCGGGACCTTTTCGAAGTTATTTCTCCGCTTCCTCTTTGGAGAAGCTCCGAGAAATTCGAATTCCTTTCTGGTCTGACTTTTTCTTCGTATTCTCATCCTCCTGCTCGTAGACGGAACAATAGGATGGTCACAGTCGATTCTAAATCGACAATTTTAAATGGACGGAAAAAGGGCGTATCTCTCCTTATTTGTTGTTTGTCTCTCCGCATAAGACAAGAATGTTGATGTTCGTTAAAAGAGTAATTTATAAAATTTCGAGATCAATTTATTAAATACTTTAAAATTTCATTCTCGAGGATATTTTATTATATTTCTTTCGCCTTAAATTCCTCATATATTGCTATATACATCGATATAAAGTTAATAAATACATCATAAAAATCGTTTATGCAAGCAATCGTAGATGCAAGGTGATATTTCTAGCTTTAAACGTTGCAATTACGTGTCTTAAACAGAATATATAACGATATACAATACATTTGATTGCGAGACATGACTCTTACTACGCGGTTAATCCCGTATCCCTTTCGGGGATACCAATAATTCAGCATTAGCGTCACACCAATAGTCCAACGAGTCATCCAACCGGAATATAGGATTCCGTCGTGAAAATGCTTTTCTCAATAATTTACCATCGTGATATATCGTAGTTAATTTTGTTGCAGCAAAGAAAAAAAGAATGATTTTTTTTCATTAAAAAAAAAAGGAAAATTTATCTGCAAAACTAAAAAAAAAGCTTTCGAAAAATTTTAATTTTGTCTGTGCCACAACTTGGATAGTATGCACGGCACGCGCGAATTTTGTTACTATCCACTTTCGCACAGCTATGCTTGAAAGTAGTATCAATTACAATTTTAATAGAAGCAGAGTGTTTTGGTTAAAAGAACAATATTTTTAAGTGTGTAATTAATTAAGAAATATCTAGAAAGCATATGATGGAAGTTCTATTTCTAAAAGTATCAATTTCTCGCGTAACTATTCTTACATGTAAATAATTCAAATATCCCAGAAAATTCTAGTTTATTAAATATTTACTTGCAGAGATTCGTACTGAGACTGACGGCAAGAAAGAAAAATATATCAAACACCTCACATATTAAATAATCGTTTTCGTCCTTTATTTTCCATCGAACTAGAAAGGTTTACATTTCACCACCTTCTCTCTTATCGGTAGTCTTTTATGCTAAATGTTCGCTTCATTTGAATATTGCTAATGCGAAAAACCGATCCATACTAATGGAGTGATCCCGCGTTCGTTTTCGTAAGCGCCATCGATTCTATTTGCTCGATTCTACATGTCCCGATTCATACTCTTTTTCATGAGATACGTACACGCGTACGATCGTCTCCATATTTCATCCATATCTCCAATTTTATCATAGCTGTAAGCCGCAGATGAAATCCTTGATTGTATGCATTTTATTTCCTCACCTCGCACACGACGAAGGTAACATATAACGCACGGGAGGACTAACGAATCGAAAAGAAAAAATGAGAAAGAAGTACGCGCATCATATTAAAAATGTGAGAATATTGAGATCCAGTCAAGAGTAAACTCTAAACGTATGTAGTATATAGAACTCCTTTTTGTATTTACATAGCCGCGTTAAACTGTAGCCAACTAATAATGTTGCGATTTAATTCGAGGAAAGTGCCACTGCGAATCGCGATCTGTTGGCAAATATTAGGCAGAGGTAATTAACGTCGGTATATTTGTTTAGGAGGAAGATCGCGTGACGCGCGCGCGTTTCATCGTGGAGTTTAACCGTGTCAAACCGTATACTGAACGTGCGTTGCCCAAAGAAACCACGGTATCCGTCAACGGGTGTGCTGTAGAAATTACGTAGTTCGTTGAGAACCGACCGTCTTCGTCGACTTCGTAAACAACCGGGGAATGACAGCACGACATAAACGCGCCAAACAGCTCGCGACGAACCGTCATTACCTTGGTAAACGGTACTGAAGGGATGGCTCGGGGCGCATGCAGGCAAAACGAGACACTTACTGTACAGACGAATCGTCCCGTCGGTTTCTCCACGTGGGTTCTTGGCGATACACTTGTAGCTACCGTAGTCTTCTCTCTGAAAATAAACCGGCGCGAGCAAATTACTCTCTAAAATGCATAGAAATTTTAATGGAGTAAATATAATAAAATATTTCTTATTAATTATCAACTTAAATTTTTAAAAACGCTCTATCATTCCGTATAATCATAACTTTGTTAAATTTACTTTTTTATAATTAATAGGAAATAGAATCATGCGAAGTATTTTTTTAACCCTTAACCGAGAAGAAAGTATTAACGATCTGCTGTCAAATCGTTCTTGTTTCGTTTTCATCTTTTTTAATCGTAACTCATTGTAATCGTAACTCATTGCTCTCGCTTTTTTTATTGACGTTAGAGCAGCAGTTACTGCTGGCGCCTTATTTTGTGTACATTTGTTTTCGTACATTTATTTTCTCATCTATTACTGTTTATTTAATCATCATTATTCACTTTGTAATTCTTTATCGATGCACAGTAAATGTAAATAAATAAATAACTGCGTAATCGGACAGTTTAAAGATCCCTATTATTCTTCTAAATTTTGAATTGTGCTACACACACAAAACATTTGAAAAAAAAACAAAAAGAAAAAAAAATTATATTAAAAAATTATACTTTCTGAATTTTTTACTTGACTATATACTAATAAATGACTAAAATTAATCACGTCTTCTAAAATGTTAATATCGTTATTATTGAATAATGATAAATTATTGTGATATCTATAATATAACCGTACATAAAGCCGTATATTATGCATTTTTATTTTGTACTCAGATACTCTAGACGAGCTTTATTACGCTCATCGTCTGTCGCGCTCATCGCCAGTACAACGATCGTGATTTACGATATGGTACTATTACCCAATCGTGAATTTTAACGCGGTGTACATAATTAAGCCATGCGCTTTTTTTTAAAAGCAATTATGTTGCATTTTAACATGCAATTCTAATTCATTAAATATGCAGAAAAAAATAGCGTTTAATTTTCGTGTAATGTATTGAAAGAGATGAAAATATTTTTATACCATTTATATCATTAATAACAAAGTCTCATTCAATTAAAAAAAATCTGTTTTTTTTCTTTTTTCGTGAATCGTTTCTACGCGATTGAAAATACGAGGAATTTAAAAAAAAATTCTTAAATGGGCTGGGCTACATTTGAGAACCAAACGGAATTGTTGATCATCGATAAGATGCATGCTTCCACTCACCTGTATATCGTTTATCGTGAGCATCATATGTGTCTTGTAAGATGGCTTATCGGGTAACGACACAGTCTTGTATTTACTGCTCTCGTGAATCATTAGGCCGTCCTCCCTCGCCCAGTAATTCAAAGAAGTCGGATGAGCCTCGGTATAACATTCCAGAATAACGGAGTAACCCAGGGGCGCGCCGACCAATTGGTGCGGTATCCAGAGCATAGGGGGGACTGCAACAGCAGAAGTGATTGATTGGCTCATAAATGTTCCAATTACTAACAATACACGATGGGCCTACGATCGATATCCCTTTCACGCGTCTATAAATCTCGCTCACTAGCTTGGTTGCGAGCGCGTTGCAAAGGGATGACTCGAGACGATTGCAAATTTTTTTCGAGAATTCAGTTTTTGGAACATAATTGGACAAATTTATTTCTCAGGATATACAGATCTCAAATCACACTCTGCTATATCAGCCTCGAATCGAAGTTAGTTAGGAGTGACAGTCTCATTGGCAGTATAAAAAGAATTTTCCAATTATACGAATTTTAACGGCATTATTACTTAAATATTGGTATTGGTGATTGTATGATAGAAAAGGCCAATAAAGGAAACAAAGCACATTGTGGCACGTGGCCTTAACTATCAGTCTGCTAACGATCTGTTCGATCATATGAGAAAAAGGCGTCAGAACATAGATGGGAAAATATTTGTGTTAAAATATTCGATCTCTTTTTTGCGATCTTCCATTATCTCTTCAATCATTGTAGAAGTGAAATGGAAATATTACACAAACAATTATATGTATAATATACATGATATAAATGTTTATACGCACTAATATTGCTTTCTGGCAATAGAGAGTTCTTTTATTATTTCTTTTTCTCTCATAAAAATTTTTTATCGAAGAGCTTCAATTTCAATTTCAATTTCTTCATCATTATTTTAATAAATAATTATTTTAATAAAATAATCATTGAAAAGAAATTATATTAAATAATGATTTAATCGTATCATAAAACATTAAAAATCGTATCATAAAACATTAATATGCATATTAAATATTAAAATATAGAAATTATTTTTCATAATTTTAGTTAATACGTCTAGATTGCAACAATATATTTTCAATGTCTTCTGAACATAATTTAAAATATATAAATTTTTTACATGTGTAAAAAATGAGCGTAAGAACACAACTGCAACACAAATGCATTTTCATGTGGGTTGAGAGACTTAAGAGAGAAAGAGGAGTATTTTTTAAAGTTTTATATAAATATAACATGAAAAAAGCTGGACTTAATTTTTGCTATATGCCGTGAATCCTAAATGCGTATCATGCGGTCCTTTAATAAAAAAAGTAATCCCATTTCGATGAACAGCTTCTGTCGTTGTTGTCGGCGCTGGTGATAACATTTCCTCGAGGTATATATATAAGAGCGCTCCAATTTAACTTAAACCTTCTAAGAATATATACCTAACCCATCTTCTTTCGCAAAGTGTCGTAATGTTCATGAGGAAAATATCATGCAAAACAAGTCAAATGTCAATTAGCGATTGTACTAGTAAGAATATAAAAAAAGCAAACGACTACGTTTCTCGAATGTAGAGAATTGAATTGGAATTTTTGTTCAAACAAAAATATCCCCGGAATAGAGATCAATAAGTAGGTGTCGATTTGAAATCATACATGAAAAATTTGAGCTGACGCATACGATGAAAAGACACCCAAAATCACATAAATGATTTCAGCATTTAAATAATATATTGGTTATTCGCCGAACAAAATCAGGGACGGAGAAGCTAACTTTACAAATTCCATCAAGAATTAAATGTTCTTTTCTCTCTGTACTCATGTCAAAAATGGTAGGAACTTTATTTTATAAAACGAAAGACTTTTCATGTGATGGACAGGTAAATTTTTCCCTTAAACTTACGAATTTACGTAGTTTAATTATAAATGAGTTTTAAATTTCTGTTTATTTTTCTTTCTCTTATACACATCTATTTCTTGATTTATAGAATACTTCTTTTACACGGTCGCAATTTCTCAAAGAAATAAAATCTGTCTTATAATCTTTTTCTTTGAATTCAGCAATTTTCTGTAATTTATTGCACAATGGTTGCACAACCCGCAAATCTCCCCGTAAATTAATAACTAATTTTAATTATTTAATAAAATCAGATCATTAAAAGACTTGAGAAATGTATCTTACAGTAAAAAGAAAGTACTGCTTTTTTAAAAGAGTTTCCCCGGAAAAGGAAGAAAAACAGAGTTTGTCGGCTCCTAGATACCGAAACGATCGAGTTTGCTCTCGTTTCATCTGGGATCTCCTTTAAGCAAGAGCCTCGGTAAACGGCGACTCGATTAAATGCGATTGTCCTTCGAGTTCTCTAGAAAATGACCACACGAGAGTCCAACCAATCCTTTTTCCAATGACTATTTTTCAATTCTTTCGTTCACTCACAACGACTTTTCCAAATTTTTGTCTCCTTGAGCATTTATTAATTTTACTTATAGAATATATTACTCTTTTATTGTTTATTATAAATGGTATCATACAACTAATAACAAACTCAAAGTGTAAATCTATTCGAATGTGTGATAAGAATCTCGAATCGTTTCGTATGTTATTCGAAAATGAACAATTTTTTAATATTCTTGGAATATTTGGGAAGTCTTGAATCATTGAAAGTCTTAAATATTTCTTATTTTGAGAAATTTTTTTTTTCTTTTGTAATATTACACGGTATTACTTCAATGTTCATTCACGATATTATACTTTGTAATATATTATAAATATATTTTTTTATAAATAGATTCTTAATGCTATAAGCAGAAGTAATTAGAGAAAGCTTCCATAACATTTCTTATAATGCAGATCTTATGAAATAGTAAAAAAAAAAAAGAAAAACCTACTTCTATTACGTTAGTTTTCCACACAAAAAGTTGGATTTATGATGTCTGATTGTGCATCAAAATTATTAAGAATTGTTTGTCAATTTAATTTAATTCGTGATATTATTACAGTAGTTTAATTGCGTTTATAAGTCCGGAAAACCAATTCAGCGCGCAGTTTGAAGGATTACAAATATGGTATATATATGCATATATATATATACTTACATATATATATGTAAGTATATACATATATATATATGTAATATAGTATATATGTATATAATTCACATTGAATTATTTAAGCATTAAAGATTTAACTTCAACCGTTATATAGACATTTTAATTTCTAGTATTGATTATATTAAGATTGAGGAAAATAAATATCATTAAATGTAGCTAACATCAGACGCTTCTACTAACACGCTCGTGCGAATTCTCCGTTCGTTCACTGTAAAGCGACCCTGCTAGCATCGGTCGTCTCGCCGAAGGAGAGAGGGGTATTCTTTTTGCCACGTAATACAGGACCGTGAATTACTACGGATTTCAAGGGAGGGATCGCTCTTCTCTGCCTCTCGTGTCTCCCTCCACCTTTTTCCTTTCTTTCCCCCTGCCCTCGCTTCGCGACAAGCGCGAGGCAACAGGGAAGGCCTGTCTTCGGATAACGCAAAGGATATCCGACACCTTCTTAAAATGCAAAACATTCCGTCTGAGGGTGAGAAGGGACGGGACCGACCTAGGTTGTCCGTAATGCTTCGGATCCTTATTGCGCAGACAAGCTTGGGCTTTACTGGTACGAAGGCCTGCGACTAGAGTCGATTGTTGGACATCCTACTTCGTTTTTTTTTCTCAAATTGTTTTCTGCACGCGATCTCAAATTCGATCGATGGAAGCAGAGTATTTTCAGCGTAAGACACTTCTTCGTATGCACTGATGGTGCATTACTTTACGTAATTAATTGCAGGAGATCTCTATATATTATAAAGTTTTTTGGAATGTTTTTGCATCTTCTTTTACGTTCGTATTCTCTGACTGATTTAAAAATATTTTCTTATTAAGAATGCGGCAACGACCTATTTCTCCAGGTAATTAAAAAATTTTCATTCTTTAATATTTTCCTATTCTTTAATCCAAAGGAACGTTTCACTTTATCGTAATTTTGATTAACGAACGCAAGAAAAACGAATTATGCAAACGCGTAATTGTATTGGTAAAATTATTGCGTTATTACTAAAACAAGAGAAATATTATATAATTCTAGTTAAGATATCCAAAATTCTAACTGATATGATCTGCAGAATCTTCTTATTTGTTTTCAACTAGAAACTGTTCTCAATATATATATGTGTCAAAAAGGAATTAAAGATTTATAATTCTCACAAAATTTCATTTCAATGCCTGCGGCATATAACAATGCCTCAGGCGGGAAATTTTTACAGGTAATAGATGTTTTACCGAGCAAAGTGATCCACGGTGAACGGTGAAGGGTTTAAACATTAGCACGGGCCACTGCGAAATGTAAACGACGTCGAGTTAGATTGCGGAGAACAATGTGTGGAACGACCCGCAAGGTAGATGAAAGCTAATTCAGGTGGAAGTTAAACAGAGTTAAAGGTACGTCCTTTAGGTAAAGGTAGGCAGGCTAGGTCGAGACAGGTTAGGTTACAAGAGTTCAGCCTTACATTCATCACGCAAGAGGCCTTGAAACCTTCTGGATCGGTATGCTCTTTAATAAAGAATGGCTAGATGCGCTGACTTGTTCAGGCAGTATGCAACGTATAAAATTTTGCCTCGATGTTTCCAGTCGAACCGCTACGCGCTGCTTTCCTGTCAAATTATCCGCGTGAGGGGAGAAAAGAAAAATAGACGCGTACGCTTATCAATTATAAAAATTTTTTTCTTTAACTTTGTAAAAATTTGTATTAAAGAGAAATAATTGCAGATTTCAAGACTACTTTTATTTCGCGTTATTTTCAACAAGTTTCACTATAACTTTATGACAGGAAGATCATGTACGCTTAACAGGAAAAAAGATATTACTAATTTTTTAGTTTTTAACAGTAATTTTCCCGAAAATAAAGATAAAAATTTCTTCTATCTCTTTTTATGTAAAATTATTATATTTTTTCAAAATGTTATAAATATAAGTGTCCTTTGTCTAGAGTATAATATATGAAGAATTTTTTTGAGAATTATGCACTGAGAAAAATAGTCTGGTTGGATTAAATAGTAATTTTGTTGGAAAATAGACGAATCAGAATTTTCTGGTTAAATCTACTGGAATTCTATTTGAGATAATTAGAATTCTGATTGATATAATTATTCTGGTAA